TTGCTGAGTGCGGAAAGGGATGTGTGAGGTTGCCTCTGCCTTTCCTGGTTCACTAGACACTAAAACAAGCCCATCAATCTCAGATTGGCAGGTTTATATAGTGATAGTGGAGTGTTATCAAAAGATAACTGTCGTCTGAGACGTGGATGGTATGGCGTGTAAGGTATTTATATGTAATTAATATGTAATGAAAGGGCCAAGGCTTCAACCAGGTGCAAGTTGGATGAAGGGGCTCCAAAAATAAGGGTTGGGTAATTATATAAGTGTTTGAGAGGTGTGTACTAATTGTAATTTCAATGGTGGTGGGTATGTATGTAAGTAAAATATATATAGGGTATAATAATAATGGTGAGCAGGTTGGTAATGTTATAGGGGAAACACTGGTGCAGTACTCTGCTAAGGGCAGTACTCTGCTGAGGAGAAAGAAAATTACAAATGGGGGAGGAGAGCCTTCTTATATAGACAAGAGTGAGGTATTTTGGCCCCAAGGGGGGGCACTACATGAGGCAGTGTGACTAGGTACATGAGGAATACATATGCTGAATGGTTGAATGTGATTGGTTGGAATCATACAGCCCTGTATGAGGTTTTCTGCAGGCTGAATGAGTGCTTGTGATTGGTCAGGAATTGATGTGTGTTCTGCAGGGTTGTGTAATGTTTGTTGATGATGTAATATGCAGTTGCTAGGCGGTGATCAGCCATTCATGCAAGTGGCTGTGCCTGCATGTATACTTTTGTACTGGTCATGCAGGACTTATGCGCCTTGCTGCAACCTGCTGCACCTGCATGTATACTTTTGTATTGGTCATGCAGGACTCATGCAGCTACATGTAGGAAGTTGAGTGCAGTTGCTTCCTGTCAATGTATCCTGTATATGTAGCCTTGAGGGTTGTAAATGATGGGTTTCAGTGCCAGTAGTGATGTAAAGTGTGAGAGAGTAGAGCTATGAATAAACTGTAAGTGGCTAGTAGGGGTATTTTAAGGGGTAAGTGAATTTTACAAACTATTTTTTACAAGACATATGTCTTGTAAACCGGATAGTTTGTAAAATTACATTTTTTTGGGGGTAATGTATAATTTTACAAACCATCACCCAAAAATATGGGTTGCAAAAAAAAGGGTTGCAAAATATGTGCCTTAAAATTGCAACCCAGGCCCCATGGAGTAGATTTTTAAGGCACATATGTTGCAACCCTTATGTCTTGCAAACAACATGATTTGCAAAAGTACATTTTTGCCTTATTTCAAGGAGTTTTACAACCATTAGTTTGCAACCCATCTATGAGTTGTAAATTATGTTTTGCAAAACTGCACAACATGGTATGTAAAATTGAATTTTACAAACCATATTTTGCAACCCTTTCAAGGAGTTTTGCAACCATTAGTTTGCAGCCCATCTATGAGTTGTAAATTGTGTTTTGCAAAATTGCACAACATGGTATATAAAATTGAATTTTACAAACCATATTTTGCAACCCTCCAAAAAAAAAAAAAAAAAAAAAAAAGGAAAAAAAAACAGGGAGACACTATGGAGTATGGAGGTACTGAACCGCCACTTTGGCCAAAAAAATGTAAAAATGATGGGATTGTGTCTATCATTGATGACCAGTTTTGACCGGTCATTTATGTGGGTGTTAACTCCCATCAATGACCAGTCAAAACCAGTCATCAATTGGAGTGTTTACTCCCATCAAAAAATGAAAAAAAAAATTCATCAGCCAATTTGGCCCTACATTCCTCCCATTGTTGACCATTTATGACACTGGTTGTCAATGGGAGGACACACTCCCATCAAGGACCAGTTATTTATGACCGGTCCTTGATGGGAGTAAACACCGCCAACATCCCCATCAATGACCGGTTTTGACCAGTCATTGATGGAAGTAAACACCCCCAAGCACCCCCATCAATGACCGGTTTTGACCGGTCATTGATGGGGTTAAACACCCCCAGAAATGACTGAATTTTTTTTTTTTCTTTTTTCATGGCCAAAGTGGCGGTTCAGTACCTCCATATTCCATAGTGTCTCCCTCTTTTTTTTCTTTTTTTTTTGGAGGGTTGCAAAATATGGTTTGTAAAATTCAATTTTATATACCATGTTGTGCAATTTTGCAAAACATAATTTACAACTCATAGATGGGTTGCAAACTAATGGTTGCAAAATTGCTTGAAAGGGTTGCAAAATATGGTTTGTAAAATTCAATTTTACATACCATGTTGTGCAGTTTTGCAAAACATAATTTACAACTCATAGATGGGTTGCAAACTAATGGTTGCAAAATTCCTTGAAATAGGGCAAAAATGTACTTTTGCAAATCATGTTGTTTGCAAGACATAAGGGTTGCAACATATGTGCCTTAAAATTCTACTCCATGGGGCATGGGTTGCAATTTTAAGGCACATATTTTGCAACCCTTTTTTTTGCAACCCATATTTTTGGGTGATGGTTTGTAAAATTATACATTACCCCCATAAAAATGTAATTTTACAAACTATCCGGTTTACAAGACATATGTCTTGTAAAAAATGGTTTGTAAAATTACAGCGACCCGTATTTTAAGCTGCAGAGTTTGATTCTGTTGAAATATGAAGTGATAACTAAAGAGAAAATAGAGTAAATAAAGTAAGAAAGATAAAATGAATAAAATTTTTATTTTAGCAATATGGTATACCATAAAGCATCCCACACCGGCGAGGCACATCCTCGCCGGCTGGAAAGGTTGCCTTCCAGCCGGCGAGGCATGTACCTCGCGGGCTGGAAGGTTGACAAGGTACACGTACCTCGCCAGCTGGCGAGGTACATGTACCTTGCCAGCTGTTTCCTTCCAGTCGACGAGGTACACGTACCTTGCCAGCTGTTTCCTTCCAGTCGACGAGGTACACGTACCTTGCCATCTGGAAGGGAAACCTTCCAGCCGGCGAGGTACATGAACCTTGTTGACTGGAAGGGTTTCCTTCCAGTCGACGAGGTACACGTACCTTGCCAGCTGGAAGGAAACAGCTGGCAAGGAACAAGCCGGCAAGGTACATGTACCTCGACGGCTGGAAGGAAACCCTTCCAGTTGGCGAGGTACATGCCTTGCCGGCTGGAAGGCAACCCTTCCAGTCGACGAGGTACATGCCTCGCCAACTGGAAGGACCTTGCCGGCTGGAAGGAAACCCTTCCAGCCGGCCATTGGTCTCGGGTATCCCAGGGGATACCCGGATATCTGCCGGGATTTGGGGGGAAAGGACATCCGCACCCGAATCCGCATCCCCTGGCGGATATCCGCTGTGGTAATTAAATATGTAAAAAATTCAAAGTTTTTTCTTTATATACATTTTTCTCATATATTCTTTCAGAAATCCACCAATACAACTTCAGAAATGAACTCTACGGACAATTTCAGCCTAGGTCACCACTGGACGCATCAATGGAACCCTCACGGATTGGAAGTTACACCCCTACGGACGCATATCACAAGCCAATACCCAGTCAAGCACATGTCACAACCCTCAAATCACCTCTCAGTTATGCTTATACACAGCTCAAGGTATACACATAATTTCCCACACCTCTTTATCTCCACTGCATAAATTAGTTTGGTTTTATTTGTCACCTCATGCACTGCCTTTGCAGGCTGCGCAGTCTTGATTGAATTACTTTTCCCACAGTTTATTAATTTTCTCACCTCATTTATGACAACAGCTGGATTTTTCCCACACTTTATTGCCTCATTTGACACTTTCTCACATTATTTACGCACTGCAGCACAGCCTTTGATATTAATTGTACACAGCCTCACTGGTTAATTTCCCTCACTTGCATGATCAGACTAGCTAAATTCACTCATTTGTACCTACAGGCCAGCTAAAATCACTCTTTCTTGTCTGCCCTGGAGCTAAATTCCCTCACATTTGTCTATAAAAGGAGGCTCTCTTCCCCCCATTTGTTGTCTCCTCAGTTCATTCACTCAGTACATCACTCAGCAGTCAATCAATATACAACTCACCAGTTAAAAACAATTATATAAGCCTTTCACCTGTTACATAAAAGAACAGTCTTATTTTATCAGCAATTATATATTCAACCTTTACCTTTCATCAAACAAAGTTTTTACCGGAACCGACCAATCCTATCACGTTATTAAAGCTTTCCAAGCTAAGCTTGGGGGTCTTGTTTCTGATAGTATAGAAGGGCAGAGTTTGCACCTCCATCATCCCCTTCTCAATTCAGCAAAAGGGTTTCACAACCACTTTTGAGTCTTACACCGCCAGCGGATAGCGGATATCCGCAACGGATTATCCCCGCCCATCTCTAGCCAGAGAAGTTGAAAACTCAACAAATAGCTCATTTTAGCCTAATTTTTTACTCCTGAGGCATCTTGTAAAAAAGTGCCAGAAAATTGATCTATTTTCCACCATCCAAATTGCCATTTTTCCTTGGGGCAAAATCAGTACTGTTTGTAGTGAGTGTGGTCTTGTTTTTTTGGTTGAGTTGTGTTGTAGTTAGGGATGGGATGACATTTCTGTGACATGTCACTCCCCAGAGTCAAAGTTCAGTTTGAACTGAGATTATGGGGAGGCATGGCACTCTGATCTGATCCAAGATAGACCCATCAAATTTTATTGATCTTTTCATTCTTGATACTTCTGATCCTCATACACAAGATTCCCAAGCTCACTCAAACTCAACAACCACCACAGAACTCAACTTCTGTTGTCCCCTCCCAGAAAACCATCCAACCCCAACGTGTTCTGTTCAGATCACAGCTCAATTTATCCAGACCCCACTTGAAGGCAGCCCTCAAAGCACCATCCCTTCAACCAACTGCCTACCACCTGGCACAATAGGAGTTCCACAATTGTGGTTGAGATTTGGATGATTGGGCGTAAATAAAGTGGCTACTACCTCTTGCAATCCTTCAAAACCAGTGTTTGCTGTCTTGCCGGAGGCAAACGTCCCAAGGAAAACCTCTTCACACAATTGGAAGAGAGGGAAGGGTTTACCTCTGATCTTGTCAAAATTGCACCACAATCAACTGGTCCCAAGCCTTGGGGTCTGCCGTCGGAGTTGATACCTCTTTGTCCCAGCCAAAACCTGATTGGTTCTGGTGGAAATTGAAGTCTTGGTAGACCTTTCTAAGGGCAGCTTTCTGTTTTTGAAGTTTCTGGACATAGAGACTGATTTCAAATGCTTCATTCATGTTGATGGCAACCAGGCTCCTAGCCTCCTTCTTCAAGTTAGCATTTTCAGTGGTGTACTGACCACACCTCGAATAATCCAGGATAAGTTCAAGGAGCTTTTTCTTCTGATCAAAGCTCCACGAGTGGGTTTCTTTGCGTGGGAAGTCCTTGGTTTTTCCTTCCCCTTTGGGCTTGAATTTGTTGGGAGTTGAAGTGGAGGGCCTGATTTCTGGAGTGGGATTATTTCAGTATTAAAAATGAACCATTGGTTTTTATGGAAATTGGATCACACCATTAAATTCTACGCACATTCAAACCTAGGAAATAAATTCAAAATTTCAAAAAAGCATAAAAAAAAATAAGGTAAAAACATGTGTGCACACAATTAATGGAAAAAATGAGTGAAAAAAAAATAATAATCAAAAGACATTTTTATGAAAAATGCTTTTTTCCCATTAAATTCTACACACTTTAAAACCCAGGAAACAATTTTAAAAATTCAAAAAAAACTCAAAAAATAAGCAGAAAAAAATTAATTAAAAAACCGTGTGCAAACGCGGAATCCGTGTGTGCTGTGCGCAGCAGAAACCGCGTGTAAACGCGGATTCACCGCGTGTTTTTATTAACGCCCTAGAGTAAAATGTATATTGATTCAAGTAATAACTAAAATAACAATCATCATGTAACCGGGAGGGGTTACAATCTCATTTAGACACACAGAATAGTGTCTCAGTGTCTGAAAGAAGAAATTATTCCCATGTGCATATGGTTCTTGGTGAAGATTCCAAATGGAATATTGTATTTCCTGTTATAATACTATCCAGCACAACAGGGGGTAGTGTTTTTTTATTAAGCTTCTTTAGATTTTTGGTAGCCTCCCAACCTCCCGGCAAGCTTTGACTATTCCCTTCTTCTTTGCCACCTTTTTTATTTCTTGTGTTCAGGCAAGGAAGAAAATGTGAGATTGTCTGTTGATGATGAGATAGAGAACATCAGGATTGAAAATTTATTACCCTTTTGAGTCATATCACAAACTGCCAGGCCAACAATGCATTCAGCGTCCGACTCCAAGCTTGCTGGAATTTCTCTGAATGAGAATATTCACAGCATTGTTTTCAAGAAGAAAATCAAACAGTGTCAGGATTTCTAATGATGTACCATTTGATTGAATAATATGTGGTTATGGACTTACTTTCCCTTATATGGATCATAATTGTAACTTCCATACTTTTCTTGACAATTCCAAGACTGCTCAACAAAGTACTGAGTTGTGAGGTTGTACTTGGGGGAAAGTAAATGTGCTGATGGAAATTTTTGAAGCAATTTTCCTCTGTGTGATTGCACAACATTCATCATTCTAAATAAGTATCAAGAATCAGTAGAGTATGTGTAGATTGATTTTTTTTTTTTGAATTCACATTCCATCTGGGCTGCAATAGGAAAACACATCATCATCGGGCAACGCTCCATTTGGTCCATCTTGAGTGCATGGTTTCTAAATTTTGCAACATGGCATTTTGTAAACTGAAGGGTTTCTTTAAGTTGCAGGAATTATGGAAAGATCAGGGTAAGAACTGACATATCCGCGTATTATGAAATGATTCTGCTTGTTGGCAGTCAAATGTTCAGTTGTATCAAGCCTGCCTTCACAAGAAAGATTTTACACAAATAATCCACTCACAGTTGCTTTCCAAACAGCTGCAATGAGGCGTGCCCGAGCTACCGCTAAAATCGCAGCTTTTATCTCATCCTCCGAGCGTTCCGCACTGACGAATTGGTCGTTGAGGAATATTCCCCCCTTCAGGACCCCATACAATCCTGTGTCTGTGCTGATACCGCCTGAGATGATTTGATTCATGGAGTTTGAGAGCTGTGCTTGGACTTGCGCTTGAGCTTTTGATAATAGATATTGCACATCCATAGTCTATTGTCAAGTTTTCACTTAACGAGTGGTCAAAATTTGTCTGCCAGCACTCCTGTCTCCGCTTGCAATAAGAATTGGTACAAACCTTTGAGCTTTCATCAACCGGAAGCGTAGCAATTACGTTATGGTATGTGTTTAAAATATTGCTTGCAAAGCCTGTGCCAATCTGAAAAACAGGCCAAAATGTATCCCCAAAAGGGGCGGATATCTCTGGAAAGGCAAAGCCGGGTATGTTTCCACATATACCCACAAAAATACCCCAGAATTGGATGCCTCTCATGATAATATCAGGTTCTTTTGGCGCGTAATCATTGACCTAAATGATGTATATGGAATTTGACAATTCAGAAAAGTAAGAGCTGTTTGGAATCCTTTTTTTGTTGTTTGAATGAAAGGTGATATCTCACGATGGATGAAGCCAAGCCTACGAGGTTGAAGATTTTGATAATTTATGTAGGCGAAAAAACCAATGGTTAACATCGAGGTCAACTTGGACAAGTCTGGAAACTAATTTACCTCCAACGATACTCAAAGCAAAAGTCATTGCCTGGTAAATTTCATTGCTAAGTGAATTCCAATTTTGAGCAGCAACAAGGATATACCAATCTCGACCACGGACTGGGAAGCATATCTGTTATTGCAAAGGGCCAAATCAGGATTTTGATGGCCGTTTCATCCAGCTCAGTTAGTTGGATCCTGACCTGATTAGCGTCGCACATCTTTCCGATTCCACACTCGAAGTTGGTGGCTCCGGCCTTTTCTGCAAAAAGCTGAACATGTTGGATGAATTTATGATTTCGGAGTGCGTTTGTCCCAAGGCGCGTGTGTTTCAACGTAAGGATTTTTAGCCTTTTCAAAGGCGAGTGAAAACGCGAATGTTGCGCACCTCAAGTGATAACCTTTCCCCGTCGGGAAAGCTCTTCAAATAATTATCGAGATCCAGAGACTGCCACAAGTCGGGTGTGAGCGGTAGCTGAGCACAGGGATCTCGAAAATCGGGTGTTATGGAGGAATCTACTGTCGATGGTGTCGTGATGTTTGACGGAATAGTACCTGAGTCGCTTGTACTTGGGGGTGTTAAATGTGGTTGACATTCTAAATAGGAAACAAGGCTCAACAGTGCAACAATTGCAAGGGGGAGATCTAGCAAACTCATTGGGTTCCTCTAGGATCTTTTTCGACAAAATCAAAGGAATGGACTAAAGGATTGACCAAGCGAAAGCACCCTAGAGTATATTTAAAGCAAGCTAGTAGTGGAGAAAGAGTTAGAGCGGTGATAGAACCTTTTCAGATAAATGCAATTCTGCCTCTAAATCTCCCTACCCGCTAGTCTGTATGATAATCCGTCGAGCATGCGAATGTGCTGTATTCAACTGATCTGCAGGCCGTTTTCGACGAAACACACTATTTTTTATCGAGAATGTGGCTAACTTGATGAAATTCCTCAATTTTGGAGGGGGGCGCAGGAACCCTGCGAATCCCACCGGATACTGTTGCACCAATCGCCTCCATTGGCCCTTGCAAAGATGTCTTTGCAGGTTTCAAAAAATTATTGATGCTAAGGAAAATTTGTCCTCTACAGTTATCCGACCACTGTAATGGCCAGAACTATAGTCTGTAGAGCAGGCCACTCCGCAGGGAAAAGGAGGCTTGTGTTAAGTCCGCGGCCAGTATGCATGCTTCAATTTTTTTGGAAGTAAAACTTGAGGGAAAGAATCAATCCAATTTGTCAAGAAAACATGGTGTTGCAAATGTGTATCTCCAACTAGATATCCAGAAAAGGTGGCAGGAAAATAAGAGCTTTGCCCAAAGAAACAAGGTTTCTTAATCAAAGTACACAACAATCACAGATGAGAAGTTTTAAATTTTATAATTTTTGTAGTTTTCTACTTTTGGTACAACCTCATCCATTCTATTGTCTCAAAATATAACTACGTAGTTCTTGTCCATTAGCCCTGGTCACACAGGGAGGGGGGTGTCATTTTCTGATGCAGCTGTGACAGCTTTCTTTTTGGTGCTGAAGTATTGGTCCAGTATGATGGCGTTCAAATTTGAAATATCATCATTTTTTGCCTTATACACCAAAAATCAATAAAAGTAGTGAGATCTCTTGTCAAGAGTCTTTGCTTTCAGGCTAAACTTTGGCTTTTGGTGATGGCTACTTATAACTAGAGACTAAGGCGGCTGCACCACTGTACTTTCAGGTTCCAATATTGGCTTTTACACAAACACAAGCTTCAAAATTATTCAAGCAAACACCATAGTTAAATGTAAACTTAATTTCAAGCATGATTTTTCTTATGACTCATGTTTTTTCACTGAACATTGAATTGACTTTATCTTTGCAACTAACAGGATGTTTTTCTAAGCATGGTATGAATTAGTTTTGGAGAAAACCTCAGAATACCTGCAAATATCAAAAGAAAATATAAGTAATAGTGATATTGCCACGGTGGTTGTAACAATGGGCCGCTATACTACACTGTGCTTTTTATCCAAAAAGTGTTAATGTAGCACTCTTTTGTGTGGAAGATTTGTAGTTCTAGTGCAATGGCAGTGTCTGTTTGTTACACTATTTCCTGCTGCAGGCTGCCAACAGCCACCACAGAGCAAAAATGCCACTAAAAAGCATAGTGATCACATTTTGGGTACCTGCGTGTGTAGTGTTAGCACAGTGTGGAACTTCTCAACCAAAGAGATAGATCTTGGAGGGGATATGGATAACTACAATAGTACTAGTGTAAGTTATAATCAAGGGTGCTGTAAGGCTGCCCTCCTATCTAATGCTATGGGAAGAGTGTAACACTAAGAAAAGAAGAAATGTGGGTGTGGCCAATTTCTACTTTAATCTTAGATGATTGTTACTGATGAGCTATGTATTTAGGTTACTACTACTGGAGGGGGAAGTGGAGTACTGAGGTTTAATGTGGAGCAAAGGTGATTGAGGATAATACTGGTAAGGATATTTCTGGTAAGATAATTCTGCCAAGGACAAACTGTCAATACTGGCAAATAATACTGGCAAGATTTATAATACTGGCAATGATTTAATACTGGCAAGGTTTAGTACTGGAATGGGATGCTGATTTACTGTGTGTGATTTCTAGTAGGTGATTGCATGAGGGATAGCATAGCATGAGGATGTACAACTTGGAAAAGGGGTACTATTTATATGTACAACATGTAGGTGCTATAGAGACAGTACAGAGGGTGAGTAGACTGTCTGAGAACAAACACAACAATGATGATGAGCAAGAGTTGGCAGATGTAGAAGGTGAGCATGTGGAAAGAAGGGATATTGGAAATGAGTGTTGACAATGTGACTGACAAGGATGAGCACTACAATGATGAGAAACAAAATTAGTATGAGAAAATGATGTTCAAGGTTCAAACTAAATATGTAGTACTATGTAAAATATGAAATGTAGCTGAAAAGAATGATTCTACATAAGAGATGAAATTTAATATATGAAATGTAGCTGAGAGGAGTTATACTACTTAAAGACTGTGGAAGAAAGATATGTAGTGTATATGTACTTTGGATGTATCAGAAAAGAACTATGAAAATAATTGATGAAATAATACTGAAAGCACATTGAGAGCACTGAAAATACTATATGGAAGGGATAGGGGGTAAAGTGGTGACTGGAATAGAGGTATGGAATAATACTGGGATGAAATAGATGATTTTGATGGGTAAAAATGACTTAACATGGACAGGTATGGGAATACCACAATGGACACAGCATCATTTCACTGCACTACACTAAATTTTAGTGGAATTATGTTGTTTTACTCATGCTAAATTGCCTGCGGCTAGTTTAAATGGCCCACCCTTGGTGGTTGGTTCATCTGTTTTTCAATCACACAAGATGGGCTAAGGTTTGTGAAAAACACAACCAATTTCAATGAAGCAAACCACACATGTGCCAGTGCCACTGCCAGCAATCAATTTCTTGTGGCGTATCTCCCATTTCTGATCAAGAGTTCCCTTGCTGTTTTTTTGTGAATTTCACCCTGTGGACCCTGTCTGAATATCTGAATGTAGGTGTTTCAAAACAAGTGTCATGTACATACATATGGTTTACAGGTTACACTCAATCTAGTAGTAAGTGAAGTTGTGTATGATGATGATCAGTGCTTATCATAAATTGGCTTAACCTTAGTTATATTCATTGACTGAGGGTGATGGCTACATCTGCAGTCAAATTTCATTGTTCTATTTGTTAAACAGACAATATAAATGGATAACTATAGTGTTATCAATTGTCTTCAACCCATCCAATAAAGCATTTTTTCCATCTTATTTTTGATTTATTCCACTAGTGTAATAATTTTTTAAATAACCCTTTGTTTATTCTAAATCCAAAATGACTTCATCATTTTATCCTCCAATTACTTTTTACTGTCAATTGAGCAGTACATCTCCCATATTGTTTTCAGTGAATTGCCAAATGCTGCCTCAAAGGCAACTGCTTTAGGATTTAGTTTTTCAAAGATTGGCCAATTGGGCTTTGGGATTGGCCAAGTGTGCTTGGCCTTTTTTTGGTCAAACTTTGGTGTGCCCAGACAGGCTTGCAACACCATAGCAAGCATACTACTAGTACTTACCAGTTGTTTTGGTTGATTTACTCTTTCCTTTTTGGATGCGGACAATCACGATGTACAAGTGCTCTTTGATAGGTGGGATGGATTCACTTAAATCTTCCCATGATAGAAGATAGACATCGATAAAGAAAAAAGAAAAGAAACATAAAATAAAAATAAATAAATAGTAGTAATAATTTATCATAGGACAAATCAAAAAAATGGGGTTGAATATATTTAGATGTGAGTAAGAAAGCTATAGAGAAATATGATCTATTGAGCCCAAGGAGCAGTCCAGGAGAACCCTTCAAATTCCTAAAAAATAAAAATAAAAATAAAAAACATCAACATCTTGTCAAAAACATTTGTCATGTATGATAAAGAACCAAGAAAGACTGACCTTTTGGTCTTCCGGTCTAAGCTGACTATGAACAGGCGTTAATCTAGGTGATTCTTTTGTGAATTCCGAATCAAAATTCGAGACATCCATCGGACCATTCTAAACAAAACAAACCAAGTTGGGTAGATCAATACACACAAAAAGAAAATGATTGAAAAGAGCCAGGAAGATAAAGAAAAGCATGCTTACAATGGTAGGGAAGTAGGGGGCAGGGATTTTCTTGCCATAGACGTCAGCCCAATTGGTTTCTCTAAAAAACGGATGTGCCTTGATTTCTTCCGCGTCATTAGGGCCGCCACCCAACCTTCTAGTAGGGTCCCTGGTCAGCAGTTTCTGCAAGATCGACACTGAATCTCGGGGCATATGAATCGGATACAGCGGTTCATCCTCCAGGATTGCGTCAAAAATCTCGTCCTCGTCGTCCCCCCTAAATGGAGATTGTCCCAATAACATCTCATAGATCAACACCCCAAACGCCCACCAATCTACCGCCCTGCCATATCGCTGCTCTAGCAATATCTCTGGTGCCATAAACTCTGGTGTTCCACAAAACGTACTCTAAACCACACAGAGAAAACAAAGTCAGATCAAGTTTGTCACCTACCTACTGGGACGCGTATACATACTGTTGTGTTTTGATACCACATTTCTTCTTTGCAAAGCCCATAATCAGCAACCTTAATGTGCCCATCCAATGTCAATAAAATATTATCGAGTTTTAAATCTCTGGAAAAACAAAATTAACCCATGAATCAAAAAGAGATGAAACAATAACATAAATGCAACAAGAGAGGGTGTGGAGCCATGGGTTGTCAATACTTACCGATAAATCACCCCATTTTGGTGGAAATACTCTAATGCCAGCAGGACTTCGGCGGCGTAAAATTTGGCCCTTCGAGGTGTGAATTGTTCGCGCTGGATGTGCAACATTAAATCACCACCACTGACATATCTAGATAAACCCAAGAAGACGAAGGCAGTGTCAGTAGAAAGAACTCTCCTTGTTACATGGATTCCCGAATCGTCGATTACTGATCAAATCATCTACTCAACTCCATCACAAAATAGATTCGAGTTTCAGTCTGGAAGCAAGAATGTAAGCCAATTAAAAACGGATGGCGCTCGCGACTGGCTGTCAGAAATACTCGTTTCTCTGACTTAGTACTGCGTTACATCAGAATACATCATCAGTGCCCACATTTAATGAAATGGAAAAAATAAGCTCAGCCGTGCAAACCTTTCTACTTCATCGTTCTCGATGATGAAATCTTTCTTGAGCACTTTGATGGCCCACAGCTGACCCGAACGTTTCTCCTCAGCCAGCATGACTTTCCCGAAGTTTCCTTTACCCAAGACAGCCAAGAAGTTAAAATCATCCAATCCGATCTTACGAGACCCTTTAGACTTGACAGGAGAGGTAACTTGAGGAGTAGATGACGGCGGGCCAGAAGAATGAGATGGTACAAGGGCAAGTGGGTTAGGAAACTCGGGACGTGTTTGAGAAGGTTGTGAGGGAAGGGGCCGCGGCTGAGGAGGATAAGGTATGGGTCCTTCGTTGCCGCCTGGCTGAGGGAAAGGCGGAAAGGGGGGACCTGCGCCACTTTGCGATGGGGGCATGGAAGGTTGGGCGGGTAAGGGGCGCGGCATGGGTGGACCTGTGATTGATAATCTATCATGACGACTCGGATCGTTAAATGATCCGGGAGGATGACTAGATAAAGATGTACGACTTCCAGGTGAGTGGCTTTGTTGATAGTCGCTGGATGGGCCTGCGGGGGGAGACGGGGGGCTAGTGTTGCTCAGCTGAAGTCTTCCCATGTCCTGGTGAAGGGATTGAGGAGGCTCAGGCGAAGGCTTCAATGGCGAGTGAGAGCTCATCCGGGTGGACTGTCGGCTTTTGGCGGTCTTGATCTCTTGCAAGAGTCTATTTGCTTTCTCCATGGACATGCCACAAAAGTCAGGGACGAGATGAGTGCAGTCGGCATGGGCAGTTATGGGACACTCGGTACATCTACGAGCTAGTTGCCGACGACCTAGTGGAAGCATCATCCCACAATGACAACACCAACTAGGTGTGATGGTTGTCATTGGCTCAAAACGATGTGGAATGCGATAGTTCAGCATCTTTTCTTCATCGCCATCCTAGTAGTGTTCAAAAGGGAAAAGAAGACATAGTAAGAACAAGACCGCCCCAATAGGTCTAAGCACAAATAGAAAAGAGGAGTGAGCACTGTGCTTAACTGTATCGACGTTGGACTTGGAAATACATTTGGTGACCACTTTGGTAAAACAGCGCTTGTGACATAAATACTTGCAGTCTTCACATTGCATGCCTGAGGCATTGTAGAGCAACTCCCCACAGAGGGCACATCGTACGATCTGGTAGAACTGCTGAGCGACAAATTGATGCCCGTTTTGAACGTGAACCTCTTCCTTCCTCTTCCTCACGGCACCTTGACGACCCAAACCGCCAGTGTCGTATGGTCTCTTGCGTACATTCGATTTAACTGTTCCAGAGCCAACAGTTGATCAATTGAGCATTCTGAGCCATCAAGTTGTCAGATTCCTTCAAAGAAAGATATAATGAAAGCTCACCAAAGTTCAGCTGAAGTCGGAGCGCGCCAGCGGGCTCGACTGCAAACCAAGCGTCGACACCGTCAGAGGACGTGCCAGCAGCTTGGTCGCTGGAAATTGAAGGTTCCGGTGGAGCAAAACCAGCGGGCGCGGCTCCGGGTGGTAAGTTCATCAATTCACCACCACCACTTCCTGTTTCTTTGACCCGAGCAGCTGTCACCCAGCCAGGACCAGACTCAAGGCCGAATTTCTTTCGCCTGAGCTCTTCTACGACATCACTTAGACGAATCCACAATACCCCGATCGGAATAACTGAGTCTTGAGCAGAGGAGGCACGATCGTAGATGATCACCTCTAATTCATTGGCCTTGTCGACATGGATCTCAAAGGCCTCATTCCAACGGTCGTTACGAACCGGATGGGTTCTAGCTCGAGGTGTATCTTCAACTTTGACCACGACGATCGATTCGGTGATTCCTTTTTTACTGGTTAATGGAGCGTGGTCTAAATCTTTGGCAGAGGCAATTGTGATCTGAAGAGCACCGGATAGAGGACGACGGGGGTGCCCTTTGCGTTCTTCGGATTCCGCATCATCATCCTTGATTCCGGTGACTTCGAGATTCTTGTAACGCTTTAAAGCCTGGGTGAGAAGCATCATTTTTTGATTCGATTCGATTCGTTTTCGTTCTGCCTCCGATCGACTCTTTTTATCACCCCTGATGGATGAAAAATCAGGGAAGGGATTTCATAACAGATAGATGAAGAGTCAATCAACCAAAATCACGGGAATGATGTATGTTCTAAAAGCTAGTAATCACTGAACTCTTGTTGATATAGCTTGAGCATCTTCTCGATCCCGTTCTTGTACTGATTTTCGACTGCGATCTTGAATTCAAGATGATGTAACATCCGTCCAATCTTGGCGGCGGTAAGAGGAGTGTCATATTTGATGAGATCTGTGAATAATGAAGAGTCAAAAAAGATAGTCAACTTGGGACGATCCAATGGAGGTAGGTTTGATGATCCTTATAGAACAATTTCTCAGGAAACGGATTACCCAGTGGAGAGTAAGTCTTTGCACCCGTAGAGTTCTTTGAGCCCGGTGAGGAGGGCACGAGAGTAGAGTGGGAGGATGGTTGATCGGAGTAAGAGGTCGAGTGACTAGAATGAGCAGAATGAGTAGGTCTGGGATCGACTGGGGCCTCCCGAGTGGAGGGGGCGCTGGTTGAGGTGCCTTGATCGACTGATTCATGTAGTTCACGAATCGATTGCTCGTAGAATGAGATGGTCTTCTCGCTATCCCTAATCTTCGAATCACAAGATCTAATGATATCCTGATTCCCGGTAGCCGTTCTCATCACCTGAAAGCCATGAATAATCTTGCGCTCCTTGGCTATCCGCTGTTGAAGCTCATCGATCTTTACCCGGTTGGACTAAACACTCGATCGAAACGAGTCGGAGTTGGTTAGTCAATCGGGTTAATAATAAACAAAAGGAGCCAATGTAAAGACTAACAGCCATGATAATCTAGGATTCGGTTGACCGTCGAGATTCTACGGTAGTGTCTGTTGAGCTGGTCTGCTCGAGTGTCGTATTCCTATGTTCTGGTTTGCTGTTGACCGTTTTCCTTGTTGATGGTCAACTGGAGGGATGAAGCCTCCCTGCCAAGGGAATCTGATGACGTAAACCAAACCCCGACCCACTCCAACACAGCCGACAGCAGCCAACTCAAGGCCCAAGTCATTAATATTCACTATGTGTGGTGCACCTTTGTTGCATAATATCTTCTCACAAGCTAATCATCAAGCAGCAAAGAAACATACATACATAGAAAAGAAAACATCCGAAAATCTGGATTTGGATTTTCACTTGTCTACGCACAGGCTACATACCTTTTTAGCTGAGCCAACCACCAGGAAATCTAAATGATCACAAGTGCAGACTATTTACATACATATATTTCCTAGTGACAGTGTGGCTGTAATGTTTATGTGGGGAAAATGACTTCCGCACTTCCCCACATTGCAGACTTTTTCAACAATGTGTCCATTTTTTCATTCACTATGAACTGAATCTCAGACTCGAGAGGTCATGAACAAGTCTTCATAAGCTAACATAGGAGAGAGATCCCAACACAATATGCTGAATGATCTTTCATCATCTTCCTCCTGGAATAATATGAGAAGAGATTTCATTCAAAAGTCATTGTTTTTTTTTTCAAATCTAGGAGCAGTAGATGCTGTTAACTTTATGGAATGAGTGTATCTCAGATTTGAACTTTGGAATCAAGCTGTTTGATATTTTGTTCTGTGTGGCTTTCCAGAATTGTTTGATTTGGCTCAAGTATACTATCCATGATTCAGGAGCAGAATGAAGAATGAGGAAAGAATTCATGAAACTATGGATCCACAAGTCCAAGCTACAATTCCAAGCCTTCCCTGGTATCCCATGACATGCTCACAACAGCTGATGGGTGATTCACGTCAAATAGGAGTGTTTTCATGGAGGACAATAACTGAACAGACATCTGCCAGTAACAGTTAACTTCCCAATCCCTTGCTGGACCTAACAATACACCAGTTAAGAAACACACAATCTCCCACCAAAATTTCTGTATTCACACTGATGTTGTTCATTCAGGAGGTCAAAAAATGGTAGTCATTTTTATTCCAACAAAGCGCAAGGGATGAACAAGGAAAGGTAACCTGATCTTAAGGAATAACAAGAGATACAGATTAGAAAGAATTGAAAGCGCGTATACCGCCGACAATGTTGATGACTTTCTTGATGATTTTAGTATCATGAGCGCGGGTCAAATGGGCCCCGTTACAAATGGCGATAGTTGAGGCAACAATAGCAGGGATTAACTGTTGGTCGGGTCGGAGGAGAGGCGGAGGAGGGGTGGTGGTTGTAGTGGTACCGGGGGGAGGGAGAGTGAGGAGTTTGGCAAGGAATTGTTTGCGGGAGAGGCCGACAAGGATCGGAAAGCCTCGTAGACAGTCCTGATCTTCGGGCGGGGAAATTCCTTGGAGCGGGTTGAGTGAGTCAAGTAATTAACAGTTGCCCGCTAGGTCCTTGTCAAAGCCGAAGCCGGGATCAATGATCAGGTTCCAACTCCCAGCGTTTGATACCTGCACGAATAGCTCATTGGACCTTCGCGGCAAGCTCCCTGCGGACGCCGGCGACGACGTCTCGGTCTTGGTAGCTAGTCAGCTGGGTCATCGTCCGGGGTTTCCCGCGCATGCGCATCAGCATGTAGGGCACATCAAAGCGGGCGACGGTCGCGAGCATGGCCTCGTCGGCCTCCCCGCCGGAGACATCGTTAACGATGGTCGCGCCTGCAATACTGCGGCTTCGACCGTTGCGGCTCGGAAGGTGTCAATGCTAATGCGACAATCCAGACGGTGGCGTTCACGTAGCTGCCTGATCACGGGTACGGTCCGTCCGATCTCCGTCTCGGCCACTGACACCTCAGTCGCCGCCGGCCGCGTCGACATCCCCCCGATGTCCAAAAATGTCCGTTCCCGCAGAAACGTACTCCAACGAGTTCCGTACCGCATCCTCTACCGCTAAGGATGCCCCTCCATCCAAGAATGAGTCCGGTGTGCAGTTTACAATCGACATCAGATGGGTCCGGCTAATCAGATCCAATGTCTGACACCCCGGCCCCCTGATCAGATGTGTCTTCCTGACACTTCCCCTGCCCGTCGTTTCCGCCGAGCTGCTTGTCTTTTGCTTCAGATCGGCCACTAGTGCTTCGATTGGTGTCCCGGTCTCTGGATGGATTGTCTGCGTGGCCACACTGTAATAAACATAACATAAACAAGCTAATTATAACCTTCATATATACGAAAAAGAAAACGAAGTTTGGATTTAAGTTGATCAAAGAAACCGCCGAAAATGACAATTCACGAGAAGGGTCAACAGACTCAATTAAAGGGTCGAGTACGAATTGCCGTTCAATGATTCCGATATGAGGGATCGTCAAATTATCCTACCTCATGACAGTACATTAAGAGTTCCTGAGGCGATAGGGTTGTGGATATCTGTGATATGATCGAGGGGAATGAACGATGTGATCAGATCATGATTTTGATGGACGAAGCTCGAGTCGAAGACACGGGTCGAAGGATCATGGTGCGAAAGCGACTGGAGAGCATTTGAAGATATTTTTGAGCCGTCTCCGATGTTAGAACGGTGAACCCAGTCCGAGATAAGCGATATTACTCGAGTGCTTGCCGCTCGAATATTTTTTGGTAGCAATTCTTCCGAGACCGGGATGGATGATCCAACGAGGCTTAAGCCACTTGAGACGGGGACTCGGGGAGTCCATATGGCAACCTATCACAACTCTGTCACCTCCTCTTGCCTGCAAGTATGAAATTGCCTTGCTCTTAAACAAGATTTCCATGGAATTCAAAAGAAGTACAAACTCAAAAAAGCAGGATGAAACAAACTTGAATTACAGCTCAATCTAAAATCCTTTATTCATTCACTTGAAATTTCAGAATCAATGTCAACTGAAAAGAAGGAATGCAACTGTGAATTCTGAGGAACCCAAGCATGGTCTGTGTGTTTGTGCTTCACAAGAAAGTTAATGAACAATTTACAATACTTGCATTTTCATTTTGAAATCTTCCAGGACAGTTTTTATGTTTGAAAACCGTTACGAGCTAGTACATATGTGTACAGTGGGTAGACAGTGAAAAGTGGCTGCTTATATTGGATTCCAGAGCTCCAAAACACAAACTTGAAGTCATGAGACTAGGTCAGGTGGTGCATAATAGGTCCTAGAAAATGAATATGAAAAAATAAAGTTTCAAAATTTGTGGAAAATAAGAAATAAAACGAGTTTTTTCCAAACGCTTTGTTATTGATTTTGGGGGAGTGAGAGTGCTGGGAGAAAGAAAGAATGGAACATGGGAAGAATGATTATAAATGAAAAAATTGGAACCAAAAAAGGTTTGGCCAGGTTGGTTGTCCAGATTGGAGCCAAAACAGTAAATTCTAGTGCTTTACTGCAATGCGGGCTGGTGAATGCCCCACTCAACAGCTGTTCAAAGCCATCTGAAAACCAATTTTTCCAAAATTTTCATTTATAACGATTCTTCTAATATGCCAATCTTCCTGTCTCTCAGCACTTCCACTCCCCCAAAATGAATATCAAAGCTTTTGAAAAAAATAAATTTTATTTTTTATTTTTCACAAATTTTGAAACTTTATTTTTTGTTTTTGTTTTTTCATATTCATTTTTTGGAACCTATTATGCACCACCTGACCAAGTCTCATGCCTTCAAGTCTATGTTTCAGAGCTCTGCAATCCAAAATAAGCAGCCACTTTTCACTGTCTACCTACTGTACAAGGAATGACTAGGCACCTCACATCATCAAGAGCAAGTAGCCTGAGGCTGTAGCAGTTGCTGAGTGGATTTGTAATTAGTTATCAAAGCCATTAATTTGAAGAGTGAATTTTTTGATTAATCCAGACTTATGTATATATATATAGGGCGTTAATAAAAACACGCGGTAAATCCGCGTTTACACGCGGTTTCTGCTGCACGCAGCACACGCGGATTCCGCGTGTACACGCGGTTTTTTATTTAATTTTTTACGGCTAATTTTTTGAGTTTTTTTGGATTTTTAAAGTTGTTTCCTACACTTTAAAAGGTGTAGAATTTAATGGTAAACACCATTTTTCATAAAAATGACATTTGATTATTAATTTTTTTTTTCCACTCATTTTTCAATTATTTGTTTGCATGCATGTATGTACCTTATTTTTTATGTTTTTTGGGAATTTTAAATTTATTTCCTAGGTTTCACTGTGCTTAGAATTTAATGGTGTAATACAAATTTTTTAAAACTCAACGGTTAATTTTTAATAGTGAAATTAGACACATTTTTTCACTTAAATTTCTACAGGTTAATTTTCATTCTTTTTTGACATTTTAAATTTTTTTCCTACACTTTAATACATGCAAAAAATGATGGTAACAGTCATTTTGCATCAAAATGAAAACTACATCTTGAATACTGCATTTGACACCGTTTTTTTAATTTAATTCTTCACTTTTTCACTCAATTGTTTGCATTAATTATTCTACCTTATTTTTTAAGCTTTTTTGAAATTTCAAAGTTTTTTCCTACATTCAGAAGTGTTTAGAATTTAATGGTAACCTTCAATTTCCATAAAACTCAATGGTTCATTCTGAATACTGTAATTAGTCATATTTTTCAATTGATTTTTAAGAGCTTAATTATCATTATTTTTTGAAATTTTAAATTTGTTTCTCATATTCATTTTTTGGGACCTATTATGCACCACCTGACCAAGTCTCATGACTTCAAATCTGTTTTTCAGAGCTCTGGAATCCAAAATAAGCAGCTAATTTTCACTGTCTACCCACTGTACACTCATGTATTAAGATTGAAGCTTGTATTTTTAGGGAAATTGGACTTCACCATTCAATTCTACAAATTTTTAAATGTAGCAAATAAATTTAAATTTTCAAAAAATGATTAAAACCCAGCCGGTAAAAACCAATTAAAAAAACATTAAAAAAACATGTCCAACACAGTATTCAATAAAAATCTTTGATTTTTATGTAAAATGGTTGTTACCATAATTTTTTACATGTATTAAAGTGTAGGAAAAAAATTTAAAATGTCAAAAAAGAATGAAAATTAACCTGTAGAAATTTAAGTGAAAAAATGTATCTAATTTCAGTATTAAAAATTAACCGTTTAGTTTTAAAAAATTTGGATTACACCACTAAATTCTACGCACAGTGAAACCTAGGAAATAAATTTAAAATTTCCAAAAAACATAAAAAATAAGGTACATACATGCATGCAAACAAATAATTGAAAAATGACTGGAAAAAAAAATTAATAATCAAATGTCATTTTTATGAAAAATGGTTTTTACCATTAAATTCTACACCTTTTAAAGTGTAGGAAACAACTTTAAAAATCCAAAAAAAACTCGAAAAATTAGCGGTAAAAAATTAAATAAAAAACCGCGTGTGCACGCGGAATCCGCGTGTGCTGCGCGCAGCAGAAACCGCATGTAAAAGCGGATTTACGGTATGTTTTTATTAACGCCCTATATATATGGATAATTCGGCTTCCAGTTTCAAGTTCAACAAAGGCCTGTACATGCAAATCAAATTGAGAACCCCACTAGTGATGAGCCCCTCAAGTCCCTGGGCAAGTTTGAGAAAGATTTTCTGAATTTTGAAGCTTTGTTTATGAGGATCTGGGAACAGATTTAATCAGATAATTAAACTAAGAAACATCACATAATTAATGTAAGTGAACTCAAGCTTCTAAACAGACCAACCAATGTATCTAAGGGTTGGGAGTAGGTAGGGGTGTGACTCTTGGGAATATTACTGTGGCTGTTTTAGTTAGAGCTTAATTTTGGGGGAAAAACTTTATTCACTCTTTCTTAAATTTCCTCTTGGAAAAATGTGTTTTACTTGTACAAAGGGTGAGATCAGTAATCTTCACAACCTTGCACTTATCTAGTTCATTTGAGGAAAAAAAAAGAAAGTGTATGAGTGAGTTGGAAAAGGTGAAGAAAAAGTACAGGTGAATATGGGAATTTTGGCAATTTACTTTGGAAAAATGTCATGCAACTGTCTACAGTTTGAATTCTGGTTACTCACAACATAACTTGGTTATTACTAAAATTTCTTGCAAAATTTGTTTATTTTTGGCACAGTAACTATTCAGGATACGTTTGAACCAAATTTTGGCTGAAGGAACTACTGAGTAATACCAAAATTTTTAGAACAACACAAGATTAAATGGCCCTCCTGCATACCAACTGCCAAATATTTCTCCAGATATTTTCACAGTTCGGATGATGTCTGTTACTCTGTACAAATGGCTGATTATTTTTATGTTTGGTATTTCCTATGGTATTCCTACCACCTTGTTCTTTCTATATCCCTTTTTCTTCAGTTTATAATTTTCATCTTCTTAATTTCCTAAAACAACATGAACATCAACTATTTCCTAAAACATCATGAACATCAACTTACTTGAAAGATATTATAATATTTATAGGGGCTTGGGTTAATCGACTCCCAAAAGTTGGAGAGTCAAACTCCCAAACCCCCAAAACCCCCGAAATTCCCCCGAATCCCCCGAGTTTGGGGAGTCGATTCCCAAACCCATGATCAGGCGGGCTTGGGAGTTGCATCCTCAACGATTTAAATTAAAAAAAAAA